CGTTTTAGTAAGCCGAACCAGTCCCTGACTCTTAAGGCTGTGGACGTGGATATAACCCTTTTCAGGTCAATTTAACGAATTTTTATCACCTCCTTGGGCAGATGATATTTAGCGTCTTCCTGGTTATAGACAACATGCTGCTGAATATCTCCAGCCACCATCATCAATGGCTTGATCCCATTCCAGCTCACATCTTTTTTTGCATAAGTCTACAACCAGATCAACTGTGCTTTTGATTTTACATCAAGCTGATTTTTCCCCTTTGATAAAGCCCTCATAAAGTTCAAGAGCCGCTGACCACGGCAACCCACATTGTTGTTCAAACGCCTCAAAATTGACATCAGTTGTGAAGCTGTCCAAGTAATGATGGGTGCTTGTAAAATGATATCAAGATACCAACGCACCCTTCTGAAAAGCATTCAAGAAACTACATTTCCATGATTTGAACACTCCATCTCAACTCCGCAGATCCAACCAAATTCCAAATAGTAGAACTTGAAGAAACGGCTGCAGACGTTGTCTTCAGTTCTCTCGACCCGTTTCCCATAGGGAATAATCCAGGTAGTCTCGTGAATGGCGAGCTGGTTCCCCCTATCCGGTATTGCACATTAAAAACGACCAGCCTGCAAGAACGTCCATTATTGCAAGTTCCTGTCCACAGATAACAAAGACCGGTGGGGCGAATTTCAGTTTGAATAAATATTCCGAGGTAAACGTGGCGAATACCACGATGTGACATTCTAGGCTGATTTCTATTTTCATCAAACCCGTCCAGTTTTTGCTCTCAAAGTGGTTATACATGGCCATCGTCACCTTTCCAGCCGATCTTGCCCCCATAATTACCAGGTTGACAGTCAGCGGACCTATTTCAAGACTTGGAACTCCCCTCGCTTTGTTGCTGCTCACCATTTTGAGACTGTAACGGAATGACATTAAGGATGTATTGAGAAAAAGCCAAAATGTGAACTTATCAAAGAACGACCTTGGGCAGATGGACGTTAGCATAAATGCATTGGTAGCAAAGTGAAAATGGGAAGACGTGTTTACTCAAGGTGGAGAAAATAGAGGGACTCTAAATACGTGACAAAGATCGGCCGCTGGAAACAGAATGGCTTATGTTCCAGTAACCGAACGGACGAAGTAGGTTTGAAGCTTGGTAAGATGTGCACTGATGATGATTCTCGGAATATATTTACGCTAGTGTCCATTTGCCCAAGGTCGTTCTTTGTTAAGTTCACTTTCTGGCTTTTTGTCAGCACAACTTTGGGATCATTCCTTTACAGTCTGAACATGGTGAGCGAAAACACAGCTGGGAGTGTGCCAAGTCTTGAAATATTTCCGCTGACCGTCCACTGGTAATTATGGGGACAAGAACAACTGGAAATGGGACGCCGACCATGTACGACCACTTTGAGAACAAAAACTGGACGGGTTTGACGAAAATGCAAATCAGTGGTGTGGCAGTGAAATGGTGAACAGCTGAGCTATAACCAGGGCTCGTGTCTGCTGAGAATTGGAACGTACGAATCTTTGTATAAGTATTTTAAATAGTCAAAATTCTAGCGTTTGTTATGCGTCCCTTGTTATTGACATGGATGAGTCTGTTCTTAAATGCTAACATTTTGGGCTTTCAGGAACGGCTTACGAGGATCCTATGTCACGCCGTAAATGTTTATTCGTTGATATCGTTTTAGTCTTAGATTGCATGCTGCAGAATGCTCCTCATTCCCGTGCGCGGTATGCTTGTGAGGCCACTAGACCTGTGGCTTCCAGGCAATGGTCGATCACTTGTTTTGTATCTCGTTGTGATAATGGCCTCCTTCCAAGCATCCATCTATGACGAAACATAAGGCAGATATTCTCTGGAGTTGTAAGGAATTGTTCTTGGAGATCCATGTACGGGCCTCATCTAACTTCAATTAAATGACAAGGCTTGTCTTGTGCAGGAGTGCAACTGATAATCAGTATCTTTGAGTGACAAGTAATATCAGAACCTCCATGAAAGAAAACAAAGCTGGAGCTGTATTTCTGTACGGTAGTAATAATGTAAGATATCAGTTCACAACATCAACAAACATAAACCGTAGATATCGATCAGCAGCAAACGGCTTGCTTGGATTATAAAAGTACGAACCGAGTGAGCAAACCTGCCCACACGAGAGACAATCACACGTGCATGTGTTCGGTTGCAAAATGGCAGATGGCCTCAAAGTCAAACAACTAGTGTTGGGTCAAATAAATGCAACTTCATACACACATTTTGAATATATAAGTGGAGCGCGTGTTAAGAATAGAGACAGAAGAAACGTGGGGAATCCTAAAGTTCAAAGTAATAGAGGGAGAAAGCAAACGGCCATACGTCGGTCCAAATTACCCCACCACGCGCCCCCTGGCCTGGCTTCGTAAAGCATTCCCATGGTTGCTGACAGTAGCACAATTCGTGGAAGGAGTGATCTCATAATGTCCTATCCCCCCGGGAGCTCCTTGTCTTTCAAACTTGAATCTTCCTCAACTCATTCAGTCATCAACGTTTCAAAAGGCTGGTTAATCTCCATCCAAATCCTAGCGAAGGTCTAGGTTATTTAATGTGTGATAACGTAGGGAGGCCATTTCCTTCCTCCGTAAAGGACCTAAAAAGCGACCTCTGTGGAAGTTCATCTTCAGTTATTGGGTTACTCTTCTCAACGCAGAAGAACAAAATAACGACCAATATAGCAATGAGGAGGAAGTCGTCCGTTTTGGTGAAGAGCGCGTCCCTTCCTGCCGGCTGAGTGAATAACGTCTGGCTCAACATAGCCCCAACCTGGAAGCTTATTCAGGCTTCCTTTTTCCAAAGGATAAGAACCCACACTTTACCTGACGGGATCATACGGTAAATACAACAGAGCTTTTTTCATTTTTTCGTAAACCTATAGAGTTTCCAGGCAAGCCGCGTGGGCCACCTTCTGTGACACTGGATGGGGTTCTCTGCCTCTTACCATTCAGCTCTGCATTCTCCCTGCCAGAAAAATTACGGGCATTTATTAATATTCATACATTATCCGCCGTTCAACACATTATGGGACGACAGAGAACATATGGAAGTCAATAGCCCCTTTGAAATACCAGGCGCACATAAGCCGGCTTTTTCAGGGTACCCTAGAATGCCGGATCTACAACACAACAGTATCACGAAACACTCAGGGGAACGGATTGCAGTCAAGTATATGAAGCAGCCACAGATCAACCGACAAAAAGACTTTAGTACCCGTGGTTGCGTGAGAACTCCAAAGCCTGTAGCTTGTTGACAAAAGCCAACATACTACCCGATGGCGTGTTCGGCTCCAAATAGCTTCATCTGTATACCAGTCAGCAGGAGCAAGCCGAAAGTAATTTTCCATAAGCTGTGATGCGTGTGGTGACGGGAATTCTCTGAACAATTTATCTAGACAGAGCGTAACTGATGTCTTGGACACATTTGTTCCTTTTGGGCTACGACAGCTTTACGCTCGTTAAATACAACGATACCACCGAACCTGACCTTGTTTCTCGCCTCTGTAAATCAAATAAACGGATTTCATTGGCGTTGCGATCCTAATTTGTACACCCGAAGTTCTTCCACAACCAAAGTTTACACGAAGGAAGTTTGTACACAGAGCTTCAGTATTATTATTCACTCGGGTCGCCACAGTTCTGTGAAAAATTGTATAAATGTTTCTTGGGTCTTATAAGGACGCGAAGTTTAATCTCCCACGGCCAAAGACTTTTTCGCATTTTACAAGTTAAGTACACTGTTGTGGTAGGCAGAATACATGTCACGGATGTTTGGTTGAGTTTGGTCCTAACGGTGACCTCTTGATGTTGACATCCCACCGTCTGAGGCACAGCCACGTGGTTGTCGAGTGTATTCTGGTATGCGCTTCGAAATACGACGCCTGAATAGCTACAAGCCAATAAGTGCAATGCCCTGTTAACTTATGTGTTGCCGCCATCATATGTGCGGGAGTACGTCGTGAATGACTCCGGGAGGTACCGACCAAGAACGCTGTTTACATCAACCGCGTCAAGTGCTGATTTCTGCTTCCGGTCAGCTGGAGGACTGCTTTATACCTGCTGATGGGGATACTGCCTCCGGTTATCATAAAGCCCCGCGAGTGTGGTCCTGCACATCTGGTGGAATGTGCCAGTTGCGGTTTTTGGCACTGCTGTTTTGCCAGCACGCAGCAAAAATATCTGTTAACGTCGTCATTAGTGATAGCATATTAGACGCCAGTCGGCCTGAGTAAATACTTTTTTGCGCGCAGGTACAATCTGTACACGGTACTCGGGACGATTACCTCAAGAATCAAGCTATCAGTTAGATACTACCCGGTTGAATGTGACCAACTTCCATTTTTGTGTTAGAAGCTCGGATTATTCAGGTATACTGGGTGGATAGCATCAATCAGGGCACTAGTAACGGAAGAGGAAATCGAGTATTCGCGCCTTTAAAGTTATACTTGGCGATAACACAACCAGAAGTGATAATCGGTTGAGAAGCACGTGATTTTAACAAATATGTTCTAATTTCCATTGCGAGGTATCTCCGACCATGGATAGTACGTTTCATCGCATGGTCAACTTTGATCACGCAACCGCCTGAGCAATTGTTCAGCTAGTTCATATTGCGGTGCCCCCTGGATGTCTTGTGGAGAACTAGCAAACGTTTCGTCCTATGGTTACTTGCTTGCTTGCTACACATTAAGCACGAATGGTCCATTGATGCGCTCTGCGGGTTAGTCATTTGGAAACATGACGGACTTGAGATTCAACCGGGTTTTTGAAAAAGCTTACGCAACGTTGTAGTGAATTTCATCATGACATCCTGAAGATCTCTCGGCTCTGAGCGGTTCGTGCACGAGTATGATATAGAACAAAGTTACGGGGATGATTTCGAGAGAGTCAGTCGTTCTCTTTTTGGATCACCACATGAAGCGTTTGCCTTCAGGCACCTAGCACCACGGACACCACTAGGCCTAACAATGCAGGGTGGGAAACCCGGTAATGACTATCAGTTCCGAATTGCAACCAATCAAACTTTTCAAACGCTCAACGAAGTTCTATTCGTTGAGTTGCAAGCCTTACGTGGTGTACAAAATTGTGTAAGTAGAATTCTCATCGCTCATTTTCTTATCGGATGATGAAGTGGAAGCGGTGAACTCCAGACCTAATTCACGAGTCTCAAGCTGGATTGGGTCAGCCTTGCGAAGTCAAGCAGCACAGTCTACGGCAGATGGACCGCAAGCGACGCCCCCAATGCCGGGAACTGCTGCAGAAATCCCATAACCGCTAGAAATGCAAAAATACTCGCCCCCAACTCCGCTCCTTCGAAAGAAGCATTTCCGATTGTGAGCATATTCACCACTCATGACCTCGAAAGCCAAAGCCACAAACCCACACCAGTGTACTGGAAATAACTACGCACACCGGGTTGGTCAAGCTGATTGCAGACGTTCTGGAAGTCCACGGAAACACGAAAGGGAAGTGACTGCGGTCAAATCGGCCGCGTAAACTTTGCCCAAAGAAGTTGTGTGTTGGGTTCAAGATGCGGTCCTTCGCAAAAACAAGGCTCCTGGGAGTGTCACTAATAGGACTAACCCTTGGTGGGGACATTAAAAGCACAACCGACCCAACAGAGACTCACAGAGACAACTTGCAGATCGCGTCAAAGAGCCCAAGAAACCAAACGCACGCATATTTACCAGTAATCCTTGAAGAACCACAAATCCAGTCGTCCAAAAGAGCGCGAGGCTCAAGATGTCTTCAGGTTCTAACCAGCGATATTTCAGAGCTATGATGTGAACCGGCTAGAACGAGTGAATACGGAACGAGGTGACGAAAAACGGAGCTTTGCTGTAAAGAGGGTACGTCTTCAAGTATCCCATTCAGCAACCAAGCTAGAAGGGCTGGGTAATGCGTTTCATATGCCAGATAATAAAATATCCAGAACAGTGTTGCTGACGCTGCCCGGTTCGGCTGGCGGAAAATTAGATGGAAATTATTTAGGGAGACAGAAATGAATAAAAATTTTGTTACGAACGGTTTAGGGTTAGTCCGTCTTGCTAGGTCGGGTTCAAGGGTCTTCTGCTGTGTTTGGCTGGAGAATGCGAATGGTATGGCAATTATGTGCAATAATGGAATTCTCTCAATTTAGCCATCCGTTTCAACGTTTAAGCTAGCATTCCAGACAAACAGCCACCTGAACTGCCCAAAGTGTACAAATGCCCAAAATTGAGCCAAAAACAAAAGTAAAGCGCGTCGTTTATAGAGTGCATGTCATGACAACATTCTGGAAATTCTTAAACCTTCTTGGTGCGGGACTGGCAACCACAGTTCGGCGGATGCTTGATCGTGTTTGGCTGTTGGGTCCGGACTTGCGGCCAGTCAGATTTCTTCCTAATGCTAGACCGGCAATGGACTTAATCTTTTGGCCAATCGTACGCGGGATAGATCACTTGGACATTCCAAAGCCCAGTTGTGAGCGGTGAAACAGTATCAGTGCTGAATTCGGCCTGACCCTCACTTGATGTTTATTGATGGAGCCTTGAGGCAAGGGGTTTACTCAGATTAAAAGGATATATACGGATGTCCCAACTTTATTCTTGTAAAGCACTTTGCCGCGCCCAATAAGATATCCTGGATTCCACTTAGAGTGTCTGCAGCTGTGAGTATGGAAAAACTATATCTGATCCTTGCTGAAAGAACATGCGGTTGTGCCAACATGCCCGTTCAACTTCCTCGATTCTTGTGTTGTGGAGGCGACAGTACTTTTTCTGTGGTCGGATAGTGGTATGCTGTGTTCAGAGCCTCTTTTGAAGGCGCACCCTGCTAACAACATTACATCAGGAGCGTTGGGGTCTGGCGTCGCCCCATAAGCCGGCAGAAACCTTTGTAAAATCTCTTCCGCTGGACCCTCCCCTCTGAACTTCTGAAATGCCCGCTTCAGAGCGTCAACGAAACTTTCCGCCAGTGAATTAAGAGCGGCTAGCAAGCACAAATTACGCCATACTCCAGAAAAAAACTCAGCAAACGCCAACGTCGTGAACTGATTGCCATCGTCGGGTAAAAGTCTCCAGCACTTCAAAACGACTAGACAATCGTCGGGGTACTAAGCTTGCACAGGCAGTTGTGGTGTTGGTCACCGGGAGACTTTTCGGTCACTCGATAGAAGAATAGACTATGAGCAAAAGACGTTAGCCACCCACGGGTCCTGCATGGTCGACGTGAGGATAGGATCATGGCTTGGTCGGGCGCGGCCGCGACCGTAGGTAGGTCTCCTCGGGCGGCTTTACCACACCGCAGACAACATTTGGAGATATGCTTCATCTGGGAGTCCAATAAAGGCCAGCGGACATACCGTCGGGAGGGGATTTTTATTCTGTACGTTTCCGGGTGCCTTTTGTGGAACCGGCTTAGAAGGGCGGATCGTAACTCCCCTCTAAAAATATAGGGTATCCATCGGCAAGCGATAATCCCTAGTTGCTTAAGGTCCTAGTTTGTCTTTTTGGTTATGTATGGCCATTTTCTGTCATGCCATTTGATGACCAGCTGCAGCCCATGGTCTTGGTAGGTAGCCTGGCAGGTCATGTCACCAGTCACTTAAAGAAAGCTAACCGACACTACGCAGTTCACTTTCGGTTCCAAGGCGATTTTTGTAACCAGAGTTGCTTCTGGTTCTGGTCTGCTTCAATCATCGAGTTGTAACAAAGTGTTGGCTTCTACGAGGCCGGTGGTGAACTGGTGCTTAAACTTTAATTTGTATCCCAGAAACAAAGCGGCCCACCGCTGTAGGCGTACGCCGGAACCCCCTTCTTCATGTAAAATATAGTAACCAGCCTCTTGTGATCATTCAGCAAGATAAGATGGCGACTGTGGAGCGCTGCATGGAACATTTTGACGGCAAGCACGATTGCCAAAGCTTTCAGATCTATCTGACCGTATTTGTACTTCGCTGGTGCCAGGCATCTGACCACAAGTACAATGAATTTCTTGCTGTTCCCAAGAGATACCTGTGATATACTTGCGCCGATTACACGGTTGGAAGCATCTGACGCCAAAAGTATTTCCAGTGATTAATCGTAGCTAATTAAAAGTATAAGGCAACTCAGCATGAATTTCACAAAGTCAAAGGCGCATTGGCATTCTTCTGAATATTTTCCACTTGTAGCCTTTAGTGAGTAACCCTTTTGGTGAGCTTCGTGGGCCACGCGTGGCAGGCAGAATAGTTGCAATGACTGATGAGACCTAGGAAGTACCAAAGTATTTTAACCCTGCGGGTGTCGGCGCATGTTTGATGGTATCCATTTTCTCCGGGCGGCGAAATTCGTCAAATAACGAAGTAGTTGATCGATCACATGAAGAAGGTGCATTCCCTTCGGCGCACCCTGGAGCCACACTCCTGGACACGATGGAGCGCGCACTTCGTCGGGGTTGGAACCCATGACGATGAGATCAACCAAACGGGCGACAACCCCGGAGGCATCCTTTGCTCCGTGTTCATGATATATGGAAGTGATGTGTGTGATATGTGTGATATGTGTGATAAATGTGTTGTATGAAATATGGCTACCACTGTCTCGGCGCCAAACCTCAGACGGTCACAATCGATCAGACCGCGGCGTGTACTGATGTTGGAAAGTTCTCGAGATTCTTCAAAAGCCTCAGTTTTGAGTAAAACCTACGCCAAGTCAAATTGGAGAACCAGTTAACCCAATTCAGTCACACAGAAAAGATTATTAGTAGAGGCAGAGGGTACAGATGTGCATCCAGTGAAACAATGGGACCAGCATAGAAGTCTGCACACAACTGGATGGTCCTGTTAACCTTCTTCACTGACACGAACGATGTGGTCTATGCAGAGCAGTTGGTCAGTCGGAGAATCCCAGCCTTCTCTAGTCAGTCCAGCTACTGGTCAACGATGGGTAGAGTTGCTTATGGTACTGGTTGTTTTGATTTGGAAACTACTTTGGCACTGGAGAGCGGGTGTGGCTTCGCTAGCAAGTCCCATCGGCGAACACAGATGTATAATGACGTGGGAGGTTCTCAAGCGAGCTCCTCGTGGAATGAGTTTGTTGGAGGGTATGCCCGATTGCTGCGTCCGTACGGTTGTAAATAGAATTGATGCTCTCTTCCAGCAGATTCAGTTTGCTGATCCTGTGAGATCAATTTTGGGCAATGATGTCAGCCTGCGCGTGGCTTGTGCCGTCAAGCCATTGAAGGTTACGGAGCAGCAAACCTCATCAGTTAAATTCAGCTCACCACCAAGGCATTACGGGCCCAGTGTTCAGTCGTTTCACATGCGGCTTCCAGTTCGTTTTTACACTCACCCACCAAGCAGCGTAAAGTCAGAGCTCCTACCCGGCTACAAATGAATTGGAGTGTTGTTGATGCGAGCAGTCGCAGGCTTTTAGGGCAATCAAAATCAACCTAGGATGTCACCTTCACCAAGCTAGACTGCGACTTGTGAACTGCACGGTGATGTGGTTGGCTGCGGCCTTCGATATCGATTTGAACCTTTTTTGTGGCCAAGCTGATTGCGGCTGGAACATTCATGACACCTAAACCGAAAAGAAAGAGTGAAACGCTACTGACCGCAATGCCAGGAACTTGTGAGAGGCTTGCTGTTTTTGACCGAACTTAGTTTCAAACGACTTTGGGACGCTGGATTTGACTGCATGTGCGTGGTTGCTTTAAGTATCAGGTGACCGACCAGTCATGGCCGCGTCGTGCATGTGATTGACGAGGCGCTGACATTCGGTGGGGAGGCTCCGCAACGTTATTTCAGCATCTTGTTCATTTCTGCGAGGCAATCGGACTCTGATGTGCGCGTCTTGGAATGACTGGAGCTCGGATACAGAACTGAGTCACAAACTTATACTCCGTCATTGAGTTGGGTTTGAAGTGATCCCATTCCCGAATGACAATGGCAAACGTGAGGAAATCATCGTCTTTCTTGGCCGGCGTAAGGCATTGGCAACGAACATCGTACAGTGGCATCTGATAATCTAGTATCTGGGATAGTGTGCTAGCCACTTCATCGACGCGCAGACCACGGCGCAGCTTGGGAGAAATGAAGAACCTACATCGCCCCTGCACCGGCGTG